CTATGTTCGTTACTGCTCTATTCACAGTTAACTAGAAAATGGAAACAACATAAATGTTCTTCAACTGATGAATGGATAAAGAAAATGTGGCGCCTATACATTATGGAATATTCTTTAATATAAAGAAAAATCACATTATAAACTCTGCAGGTAGATCAATGGAATTAGAAAAAATTATTTTGAGTTGACCAAGACCCAGAAAGACAAATACCACATACTCTGCAACTGAACTCCTAACTCCAATGGAAACTGTAGAGGCTCCTTACTCCAAATATTCAGATGGAAATATATAACCTGGAGTAACCACAGAAGCCAGAAAGGTATAAAGGGAACATGTGGTTGGGGAAGCAAGGCAAGCATAATTTAATGGGAGAAATAGGAAAAATTAGAGGAGGAAAAGGGAGGTCAACATAGGAGAGAGATGGAGGCGGGTGAAATTACAGTAACCACATTTTAAAAAGCTTTAAGGAATCATATTAGTATCTATTTGGCTAAAATTACACAAAATATGTAAGTATAGGTATATGTGTGCATACCTTTACATACATAGTTTAAATTAAATGTTTCCATCTGTGCTGACAGTACTTTTCCCAAGAGCCATAAATACCTTAAACAAACAAAAACCTCAATACCAGTCATGGGAATTCCTCATTCCAGCTGTTGGTCAGAAAATTTCAAGAGACTCCTAAAGCATTATAAACTATTACTCTTGACCTGATTGCATCCCAGAAACGTCACTGAGTCTCTATTGCTGATGACATTATGCAACACAGGACCCAAAGGATCCCAGCTTGATCTGACTGGAAGCCCGTCCTCCTGATAATTAATTTTCATGGTACCAGAGAGTGACATCAAAGTTTCCAAGGATAAGAAGCAAACAATTATTCTACCCAGCTGTTATGCCTATAAACTACAATCATCAATACGGTATAAAAACCTAAGGATGCAATATTAGTACTCATATGTTGATGACAACCAAAAGCTCTCTAATTGGACATAAGAAACAACTCAACAAGAAGATAATCAAGCTTGGTATTGGGAACATAGCCAGGGCTAGTGAGGTTAGGTATCTTGTAGGAGAAACTACAACCACCACCTTACTAAACATAGCATAATCCCTAATTACATTCTAAATATCTATCATTGTACCTGCAAATAAGTGTAGTCCTCACCCCTTATCAAACAATAACCACAACCAATAAAAATGCAGAGAACAAGTGATCATGTAGTGTTCTCCCTCAACTGATGTATGTGGTTGGTTATATGAGAATTACTTACATGAGACTAAGCCAGCCATGCTTAAAATGCTCTAAAGCCCCCAAACACCCATGAATCATATTTGGCACTCCTACATGAATCACAAAAATACCTGACAGCTGTGGATCAAACATGACAATCGCCTGCCTGAATCCTGCTTAACATTATTATCACAAAACTCAGATCAGCAAGGATAGCACAATTTAACTCATAAGCACTAGAGGGCAGCCAGGAGATCAGCTAAATATCAAAATACTGCACTTAGACCCCTAGTGGCAGAAGTTCAGGCAAAAACTCCTTCCTGCTGAGTCTCAGAAAGACAAATATTGCATGTGTTCTCTCATGCACAGGTCCTAGATTAATGTTTATATATACATAGCTATGTGGAGGAATGTCATTGGCCATAGAACCAGAAAAGGGGTAGGAACAAGAAAAAAGAGATCCTAGTGGAAGGCTGAAAAGGGAAAAGAAGCAGAAAATTACAGAGTATCCAAATACAGGTGGTATGATATCAGAAGGGGCTCAAAAGTGGGGTCAGAAAGAGGGGCAAAGGAAATGGGGGTACAACAGTAATGCTGGTGGTCACCTAGGATTTTGCAGAGTATGTTCCCTGTGACAAACAAAGGCCTGGATGTCTGGGAAAGACAGAAGATGAGCCTCAGAGGAGGAGAAAGTAAAACTTTATCCCTGAGGGATGGGAGACACCCTAGGCTGGGAGTTCACTAAACTGATTCTGAGCTGAGTCTTTTGTAGCTCTCTGGGTCCTCCTGTTTCCTCTGTTGGTCCTGTTTAAATAACCATACTTTACATTCTAGCCAGTTCTCTTCATCTTCTAGGAACTAGAAACTTCCTTTCTCAGGGGGCTGCTTATGCTTTCCCATCCACACATATCCCTCTCTCTAACTCCTTCAGAACTTAATTACTCTGGGTACTATTTCTTTAAGACCAATAAAAGTATTTAAGATATAAATAAAAACTATAAAAAATAACTACTTCCTTTTCTACATTTGGATTATGCTAGAACCTGATTTTCAAGGAAGGAAAATGCAAAGATTTAAACAAAGTCTTCACAGATGGTTGCATTTGAGTCAATACTTACAGGAAGTGCAGAGCATTACCATGCTGGGATTTGATGGGACAGCACTATGGGCAGGCTGGCAAAGGCAGGGGACAGAGGTCCTGGTAGGAAAATGTGCCCTGCGTGCTCCCATGATAACTTTCCCTCTGGTTCCTTGTACTTCACAGCCCAGGAGTGCAGAAGAGACTCCTGAGACACTCAACACTGCTAACAGTGATAACGGTCATTAGATCTGTTGATCCTTGGGCAGTGTTTAGGCTTGGCCTCTTTTTCTCCATTCTCTTAAAGACAGATACATCCAATAATGTCACCATTACTGAGACATCCAGCCACCCTGCTCTGGGCCACTGCTTCTAACACACACACACACACACACACACACACACACACACCCACACACACACACACACACACATTAGGAACTATTAGGGTGCTACATTCTGGCTGACAATAAAACTCAGAGGTACTATTCAAAGTTGGAGAAAGCTGTGTCTCAATCCTGAACACTAAAATTGAGAAAAATAAGAGCTGTCAGATAGAGGTTATTATGTCTGCATTAGACAGATTCTGAACTATGTTTTGTCAAAGAGGACCACGTGAGCACAGAGTAATAATAGTGTGCGATCAGACTGAGCAGCATGGAAAGATTCTATTTCTTAAAAGAAAGTAAAGAATTATGCATTTTAAAAATTATTTCCCAGTGTGTGAACGAACTTTCCAGCTGTTTAACTTTGTTGTTGTTTTATTTTAGATAGACAGTAGATGTTACATCTGGTGACCTAAAACTGGCAATCCTCTGCCTCAGATTCACATGTCACTTAAAACTATAGGGCAGTGCCACTGAGTTCAACTTGAGTAAATATTAACACATACAACTGAAAACAAATGTCAAGGTCATAGGATGTTAGAGCTCATTCATTTTTTTAAGCTCTTTAAAAATTGTCTTCCTTGTTGACTTATATTACTTCTAATGAAGTATCAGGCATTTGTTCCTCAGAGTAGAGAGTATAAATTTTACATGTGTTAAAAAGATTTCGTTGTTTGATTTAGTGGGTTCTCTAAGTGCATATTGCCTTCCCTTGTCTTCCTGGATTCTCCTGCCAAAACAAGAGCAGTGGCCTTCAGAACCCATGAGCTCTGAAATTTCTTTGCTGGTTTTTAATTTAGGAGGTCTTGCTAAAGTCACTGAGAGGCATTGAAGTTTTGGATCATTATTGATTAGGACCCCATGTGACGTTTTGTGTCATTTAGTGTTTTAGTTGGACTGGGAGCTCCAAAGTTCCACGCACCCACATGCACAATGTCCACCCTCTGTGACTATGCAGTGGCTCTCTTCATCTCTCTGACTAGCTTTGGTCTGAAGTCTGCTTTCTCAGGAGTTAGACTTACTTGGCCTGCTATGAGGGTGCTCTAATTGTCAGTTTTTGATGTTCTTGTTGAAAGGAGATGTTTCTTGGAGACAAGATAATTGGTATTGTTTATTGATCCAGCCAGTTAGCCTGTGGCTTTTAGTTGGTGAGTTGAAGCAATTTACTATTTTTTTTATTATTTACAATTTATTTAATGTATTAATGCCATTCAAATACAGGGTCTGAACATTATGCAGCTGATCATGCCAGCCATGTTTGCCATGAGGCACCTGTGCTCATGATGCATTGGTGGCACCCCACGGCTTCTACTGGTTCCTGGGATTAATGTGCGAGCAACACTGCTATCTGCTCTTCTGTACAGTCAGTGGAACAATTCCAGCATGCTTCCCTTTCCTAATCCTACTATCCTGCCAACAGAAAAAAACTAGACCTAATTGATACCTATACACATCACTCTATGGTAACACATGTCATTAAAGCGTCTGTGTGGAGCTGGGTTTTAGTTTTCTAAGAGAGAGTTTCACCATGTTGCTCAGGCTAGACTCCCAAGCTTAGGCTAAAGCATTCCTCCTGCCTTGGCTTGCTAGGTTGTTAGGGCCAACACGATCATCGACTATGTGGCATGAAAACATTTAAATTCACAAACTAATAAAAGTTTTTTTTTCCAGCAGAAATCTTGTCAGAATTTATGCAGCATTGTGTGAGCAAACCCTGCAAACGGTTAGGCAATGAGAAGTCCTGTGTCCATTTTGTGCACTGCTAATGGCCATAAAGACTGCAGCTGCTTCTGTTAGCTAAAAATATTTATATTCCAAATTTTATTTTTTTCATCTATGAAATATACCTGTTAAATCATTTCTTTAGTGAAAATTATATACTTTCATAATAAGAGTAAATTGAATTCTTCTTCCCCCACTGATGACATTGGTCGACTGTAAACACACCTGCATCCATGTGAGTGGCTCCTGGTTTACATACTTGAATTTCTTGAAGGTAAATGGAAATATAAATGGAAAAACAAAAGGAAGTAGAAGAGGTTCGAGGTCACATGAGTCCCCACTTCCCTGGTCATCAGAGGAAATGGAGGTAATAGACAATTCTATGTGATTTCTATCACATATGGTACAAAGTCTACCCACATTGGGCTGTAATAACCACACACTAATAACACTGTTGACGAGAGTGTAAGGAGATGGGGACTCATAATTTACAGTTGATACAAACCACCCACACAGAGAACTATTTTTGCAACCACTCAGGAAAACAAGTCAATTAAACTAGTTAAGGAAATAGGTCTAAAACTCTACTGGTGCCCGAGGAGCAAAGGGAGACTTATTTCCCCTTGGTCGGTCTGTGGCCTGAATGAGTCTAATCCTTACATTCACTGTGTCACCTGTCACCTGTTCCTGCAAATGAAAACCCCTCTGCACCTCTGCCAGGCTCAGCACCACAGCAGAGTTTTGCTGGAGCCTCAGCTGCGGGTTTGGGTGTGGGCTGCAGGTGCCTGGAGAGCACTGTGTACTTGCTGCACAGAAGTAGATGGCTGAGTCTCCAGGCTGAGAATCTGTGATGTGCAAGGAGAGCTGTTTATCACTTTTCCTGAAGAAGACTGTGAATCTTCCATCTTCCTTTTTATTCGACACGGATCGTATGGCTATCAGAAGTGTAGGGCCTTCACCAGGGAACTGCCGGTACCATGGGAAGTAGTCAAATGCGCTGTTCTCATAAGTGCAGTTCAGAACTGAAGTCCCTCCTGCCGAGACTGTCAGAGATTGGGGACTTTGTCTCACCTGCTGCTGGTCACGTCTGTCCTGCTGCTGGCCACTCACCCCTGTGCAGAGAAATAACAAATGTCATTAGGTTGCCAGGTTTGTACTACCTGCTTGTAATTTCAGCATTCGTGATTTTGTCCTGTCCCCAGTTCCCTCATGTCTCCACATTAATTACACATCCTGAATTTTCTCTTCTGTGACTCACAGGCTAGGTGAAGGGCCAGGACTAAAAATGATGCTTTCAGGATCTTGTCCATTCCTCCCACATTGAAGCTTGAGGAAACTCAGATGGTCTTTTATCTTGCCCAGAATACAGACTCTAACTTCACAGACACCTTAGTTCTTTCAACTGGCTCCACCCCTCACAAACACTTTGTCTAAGGTTATTTATGACATAGAAAGCACTTCCCCATTTTGTTCAAATTTAGAATCACTGAAAATACAGTCATTGAGAATCAGAAATGCCCTCCTCAGAAGTCTACCCTTCTGTAGGTAGAAATGTGTGTTGATATAGCCACCAAGAATAGCAGTATGTATTTTCTGAAAGATACAAAGAAAGGAGAGAGAGAGAGAGAGAGAGAGAGAGAGAGAGAGAGAGAGAGAGAGAGAGAGAACGAGCAATGATCCACTTAAGAGCATTTATCCAGGGGAACTGAGGTCCTATAAGAGAGACACCTCTGTTTGAATGTTTATTACAGCACCATTCATGGTTGCCAAGATGAAGGCATGGCCTAGGTACCATCTGTCGATTGATGAATGAGGAAAATATTGCCCATGAAACAAAAGAGTAATATTCAGCCACAAGGAAAAATGAATTTGAGCCATCCACAGGAAAATGGATGGTATTGAAAGCCATGTAGAGAAACACAACACATACGTGTTTTCATATGTGAAAACATTTAAAAAATGAAGAAAGAAGGAAATAAAATGAAAGTAAAGATGATCTGAAAACAGAAGCTAGACAAATGAGAAGGGGGAGTGAGGACTCGGGGAAGAGGAGAGGAAAACAGAGGTTGAAGGAGAGATGAATATGAGGAAATCACTACAAATGTGTATATTAGAATTTTACAACAAACCCACTAATTTGTACAATTAATGTGTGCTGATATTGTGATAATTATAATATTAAAGAAAGGATGAATTTAAAATTTTCTCCGTTGTAGAAGCTTATACACAAACATACACAAAAAGAATTAAAATGGAATTACCCTATTATAAGGCAAAAATAAGCCTACTAGACAGCACAGGGTAACAAATGAAAATGTCAGTGCCAGGAATGGATTACCACTTCTGGTTTTTAATTCGTTTGCTTTCTATTGCTAAGATAAACATAATGACCAGAAGCAACGGAGGGAGGGGATATTCATTTGGTTTGCATTTCTGATCACAGTCTATTACTGAAGTAAGCCAAGTCAGGAATTCAAGCTGGAACAGAGGCAGGAAACATACATGAAATCTGCTCACTAGCTTGCTCCTCCTGACTTGCTATTCTTGTTTCTTATACAACCCAGGACCTCCTGCCCAGGGATGACAAAGCCCACAGTGGGCTGGGCCCTCCATGTCAATTGTTAATGAAGAAAATGTCCACAAACATGTCTCCAAACAATTATAACAAATAAAATTCTTTGATTGAGGGTCCCTCTTCCTGGGTATCTCTAGTTTGTGTCAAGTTGACAAAAATTAACCATCACAACTGACCCCTTGTCAACCTGGCACATAAAACAGCATTGTTTAGCCATAATCTAGCCCTTTTTGTTGATACACAAGATGTTATTTTAGTATCACAATATAAACCATAGTATAACTTTTAAATAACCAGTCTTTATTTACACTACTGTGTATTACTCAGCTATTAAAAACAATAGCATCAAGAAATTTGCTGGCAAATGGATGGAACTAGAAAGATAATTCTGAGTGAGGTGACCCAGACTCAGAAAGACCAACATGCTTATTTATAAGTGGATATTATCCATTGTAGTAGATTGAATGTAATTGGCCACCATAATATCATAGGGAGTGTCATTATTAGGAAGTATGGCCTTGTTGGAGGAAGTGTGTCACTGTAGAGGCAGGCTTTGAGGTCTCATATATGCTCAACTCCCAGTGAGTCAGTCCACTTCCTAATGCCATTTGATCTAGAAGTAGCCAGCACCATGCCTGCCTGTATACTGCCATGTTAGCTGACATGATGATAATGGCCGGAATGTCTGCAACTGTAAGCAAGCAACCCCAATTAAATCTTTTCCTTATAAAATCTGGCATGGTCATGGTGTCTCTCACAGTAATAGAAACCCTAAATAAGACTGCCATAAAGTAAAGAATAATCATGCTACAATCCACAAACTCTGACAAACTAAATAACAACTAGGGTTCAAAGGGGCAGAGGAGACCCATGAATCTCGCTATGAAAGGGAAATAGAATAGACCATCACTTGTGGGCAGGGGAAGGGTTCTAGATGGGGTCTAGGAACAGGAGGTATCAGGTGGAGGGAGGATGGAGGGAGAGAGTACTGTAAGAGAAAACTGGAAAGGGGGAGGGATGCATCTCGGGTATGAGCTAGAAACCTAGTGTAATTGAAACTCCCAGGAATATATGAGGGTGACCCTAGATAAGATTCCTAGCAATGGGGGATACAAAACTTGAACTGATCACTTTTAAGCAGGCAGGACTTTGAGTGGAGGGATTGGGGTACCAATTCTGCCACAAAACCTTAGACAAACAATTTGTCCTCCCTTCAAGATGTGTTGGGCTCAAGGTCACACAGAAATTGTAAGACTGGCCAACTAATGACTGGTCCAGCTTGAGACCTATACCACAAAAGGAATCCCACACCTGACACTCCCTGGAGGGCCACAACACAGAGGCTGGATGGCCCAGAGACCTAGAATAGAACCAAACACAACTGGCAAAAAAAAATAGTCAATGAAATGATTCCTAATGATATTCTGCTATCCTCATAGATTGGTGCCTAGCTCAATTGTCATCAGAGAGGCTTCACCCAGCAGCTTATGGAAACAGAGGCAGAAACCACAGCCAAACATTAGGTGGAGCTCAGGGAATCCTGTGGAAGACTGGGAGGAAAGACTGTAGGAACCGGAGGTGTCAAGGACACCATAAAAAAACCCACAGTATAAACTGACCTGGGCTCACAGAGGCTCATAAAGACTGAACCAACAACCAGGGAGCCTTCATGGGTCTGATCTAGGCCCTCTGCATATATGTTACAACTGTGTAAATTTCATTGTATTCTTCTAAAATAAAGACCAGGTTAACTAAATCTAAGAATATACTGGTGGAAAAGAAATTTGAAGTTAGTGAGATTACTCTGGAAATGCTTTGGTCTTCAGATGAGTGAGAGAGTATGGAAAACATTCTGTAACTTTCACAGGTCACACACCTTCAAGAATGCAACATTTTGACTGGTCTCATCCTGAGTTTGAGTAAACATTTAATACTGCCTTCATATTTAATTTTATAGATCTAATACACGTATTAAAATCAGTTTGGCTTTATATGTTGATATCAACAAGGCATCGAGTGGAAGTGGAGAATAAATGAAACATCATCTGCTAAAGTAGAGAGCCTCTGCACTGTAAATAATAGGCATTAAAGGACTATGGGGAAGCTACAGCAGAGAGGGTTGTGTTGTATATGTGACGTCATCACAGGTTTAATCTCAGCCCAACAGCAGGCAACGGTCATTGTTCCACAGTCTCCAAGAAAGGCCTGAGGATGTAGTTCAGTCAGTAGAGTGCAGCTATAAGACCCTTGTTTGGCTGCCAGCACAAAAAAAAAAAAATGGACATGGTGCACATACCTGTAATTCCTGCACTTGGAAGTAAAGGCAGGAAGATCAGAAATTGAAAGATATTTTAGTTATGTAACAAGGTTGAGGTCAGTCTTGTTACCTGAAATTGTCTCAGAAAAAAAAAGAAAGAAAGAAAGAAAGGAAGGAAGGAAGGAAGGAAGGAAGGAAGGAAGGAAGGAAGAAAAAGGAAAGAGAGAGAGAGAGAGAGAGAGAGAGAGAGAGAGAGAGAGAGAGAGAGAGAGAAGAAAAAAGAATAAAATTCTATCTAAACAAATTATACATCAGCATCCTAGCCATTTTTTGTTCCTCATTTTACATTTTGGTGTCTTCTCTTTTTCCTTTACTCCCTTCAGTCAGACATCTATCCAGCATACACTACCTCCATCATCTATGGTGAATATATTCCATGATGTTTCAGACATCAAATAGTTTAGCCTCAAATCACAAATAGTGCTGAAAAATACACACACATTATTTTCTCCTGTACATACATATGCACCTCCAAAAAGCTTTAACCCTTTCACTAAAAAGAAGTACATGAATTTCAGCACCACACAGCACTGATACCTGCACAGTCGTTCTGATGACACAGATGGCTGCTCAGTGAAAACAGACCAGTGGCATGGACAACAGGGGATGCAGAACAAAGATGATCACAATTACTGGTGGAGGATTTCTGATACTACCAGGAAGGACAGGTATTTATATCAAATGGACTTCTTATTTCTGAAGTTTTCATTAGATATTAAAATATCAAATAACTGAAAATTGGGACTTGAAAACTTAAAAAGTTAAACAGGGTAAGGAAGAAATTCTGTGTATTTGCGGAGTGCCTAACTGCCTACTGTATAGTAGTGCTCGGGTGTCTTTCATGGCACACACTGTTCTAATCTTCATTCTAGTCTCAGCACTCAAGAACAGAAAACTGAAGCCTACCGAAGACACCTGTGTCTAGACAAGACGATGAAGGAAGGGTGTGGACACTGCTTCCTGATCCAGTCAGAGAAGATCCTGATGGAGGATAATATTGAACTGGCTTCAAATCATGAGTAGATTTCCCAGTGGAAAGAGTATACACCATAATTCTAGGCACAGGTCATATCACTGTGTCAGGAGATTGTACCAAGTGTGGGTGACAACCTTAGAAATGTACATTAGAGAAGGTAATGTGGCCTGGATTTTGAAGTATAGCACGTACCTTCATAGTGTTCACTTGCAAATTCCTGTTTGTCCACACTATGGGCCCAGGATAAGCAGGTATAATATAGATAAATGGCTAGGCAGATACATATTTTCTTCTCTAGTTAAACTTAAGCAGGAGATAATGGTTTAGTTGTTTTAAATAATCATCCCTAGCTTAGTGAGAGTGTGTGGAAGAGCCATAACCTTTACCTGCTCTGAAGCAGCACTGCCCCTCTGTGGACAAATGAGGTCTTCACTCAACAGCG